AGAGAGAGAGAGAGAGAGAGAGAGAGAGAGAGAGAGAGAGAGAGAGAGAGAGAGAGAGAGAGAGAGAGAGAGAGAGAGAGAGAGAGACGAAGGCGAGCGAGGGACTGTGGACGAACGAGAACTTGTAAAACAACACACAACGTGGCTGGGTAAAATTTATGAAAGTTGGCGATCGATCTCCCTGGCACGAACTTCCCAGACGCTAGGTCTAACGCTCTCCATCGTTTTCGCCATTAGTGTCCCGTGCTTCTCCATGCAGTCCGTCAGTGCTTTGAAAGTTTGTTGCCTCATGTTATTTCTCGTGTCGAACCCACCAGGACTACCCTGTGTTGGTTAATAACCTTTGTGGAGTTCGTCGTCGTTGCCATCGCCAGTTGTGCCCCCGACGCCCATAGATTCTGGTCCACCAGAAGAGCCGCATGGCAGCTGCACACCAGCCGAACCGCCCATGTCCACGACATTCTTTGGGTGTATAGTGTGACTCTTTGCGGCTGACCCCTTGATCTCCTTATACACGGCCTGGTCCATGGTGAAATGGAACCCCTTCTTTAACCTCTCCTTCCCGTGAATTGCAAGAAGTTTTGTTTCCCGAACTCGTCCTGGAAATGCTGCACCTTCTTGAATTGCTACAAGAAGTTGTCCCACTTCTTCCCACACTTGTCTGTTTTTTTGTCGACGCCCACCTTCTTCAACCTCTCCTGAACTTCCGCCCACTGGCCCATTCCCTGCAGATATGCATCCTGGTCCCGCTTGGCCCTGATGAGGGCGACCATGTGTTCAACTGACTAGAAGTTTCATCTGCCATCCGCCTTCACATCACCTTTGACCTCGCTGCCGGTAGCACGTGCTACTGATGCCGACGCTGACTGCATTCTCGGACGCTCCTTTGTCTTATCTGATGTTGCCCATCCTCCGAATGAACCCTTTGCAGTTTGGCCAACAAGCGTCACTTGTCGTGCGTCGTCGTCAAGGTGTGGGTTGACAATGACTACCTGTGTGGCGGCTAATGAGCTCTCGCTAGACAACCAGAATGACAGATTCACGCCTCCATCAACGTCGTCGTCACACAGATCCTCCTCCTGGAGTTCGGTGTACGATTGTCGAGACGTCATCAAATGACTCCCATACAACTGGCTCCCCGCGCATTCCTGGGTGGACCCGCTCCCCAGGGCCACTGTCCGTGACCGTGCCCCCTCCGCCTCCTCATCTGACGTATCGGGCAGAGGTTGCTTATGTGGTGGTAGGTGCATGTACGCAAACGAGTTGTACGCCCTTGCACTGCGAGCCGGGATGTGGCCTGCACGGTGGCTCGTTGAGTGGTACACTGAAGACCTGCTCTTCGCGTGTCGTCCGTTCATGATGACGCCCTTCTGCGTAGAACGCCTCTTGCGTGTGTGTCTAGGCACCCTGCCGAGAATACAGACTCCGAAAGACGCCGGCCATGCGTGACACGTAGGGAAGGGCAATAACTACACGACGCGGGCACACGTCCACCAAACAGTGATGAAGAGGGCAGCAAACGACAGACCGCAACATTCGACAAACGCCCTGTAACGCTTTACGTCGCCCATTATAGTGGGAATTGAAAGGCAGGTCGGCTAAAATATTCAATTTCACCGACCATTGAAACCCTTTCCGTTTGCCGCCATGCACTGCGAGGGAGAACACCGGTTGAAGACGTTTGCGGAGTCCGGCCGGCCACCAACGGTTACCGTTGGCAAAAGGACCACGGAAGACGAACGTTGACGACCCAAGATGTCCGTGCGCTGCCCGGTAGGAACTCCAATGGACCAGCCGACGAAAATTTCTTGCCAACGATGGGTGCCCTCGCCGCTCCGATTATCGCGGATCCTTGACGTCCAAGGGACCCGGGGAGGTACCCTGGGGAAGGCCCGAGGACCCCAGGATTCCCGGAGAGATTGTTTTCACATTCCTTTTTGTCCCCGAGGATAGGTGGAAAGATAATTTCTTGGGGGAATTTATGCGCCCCAGGAGTGTGTAACAACTATGCGCCCCAGGAGTGTGTAACGAGCCCCCTAGTCTTCGTTTCGAGTATTTTTCACTGTGGGCACAGTGGGCTCGTGAGATCCTCAGATCGGATGGCTGGAACTGGTGCGTGATCGAAACCATGCCTAAACCTCCACTACCGGTAGTGTAGCCCGCGGTCAGGTTCTGGCGGGCCAGGTGCTCGTCGTCCTTGATCTTGTAGGTAGGATAGGAAGCCCCATGCTTTATGCGCTGACATGAACGGATGCACGCTACCGGTAGTTCGGTGCCACGATACCGGTAGTTCGGCGCCACGTTACCGGTAGTTCGGCCCCACGCAGGCACGGCTTTTCCCGGCCCTGTCTGTGCCATGTAGGCCCACACACGAGGCCCATCAGTTCGTGCGCCACGTTGGAGCCACGTATGCAGGTCCCGCTGTGCGATACGTAGGTGCCATTTATGCACGTCGTTCCATGCGCTACGTATGCGCGTGCCTTGCCGGCACGGTCGTTGCCGCTTACATAGATTTATATACAATGTATACATTTATATACAATATATAATATATTGTCCTTCGGGACATCCGTTAAAATTGGAACGATACAGAGAAGATTAGCATGGCCCCTGCGCAAGGATGACACGCATAAATCGAGAAATGGGACAATATACATTCTTGTCTGTCGCCGCCACGTGGTCACGACCGTCGATCATATCTCTATCGCTGACAACCGCGTCCGTCCGTCAACCTGAGGTAAGGATTGCTTGTTTTTTGCTTTGTTTTTTTTTCCCTTTGCCGGAGGTGAGGAAACCTTCCCCTGTTTGTCCTTTCGGACATCCGTTAAAAGTGGAACGATAGACACACACACACACACACACACACACACACACACACACACACACACAGAAGATTAGCATGGCCCCTGCGCTTTCAAGGATATGACACGCATAAATCGAGAAATGGTCCAAATGAAAAAAAAGGAAAGAAAAAAAGAACCTTCCCCTCTTTCTCCGGATGCTTTCTCCTTTTTTTTTTTCTTTTTTTTTTCCCTTGAGCGTGCTTTTGCTGGAGGGGAGGTGACGAAACTTTCCCCTCTTTTCCCTGAGATGCAATTGAGAAGCTTTCGCGGCCGCAATTGGCCGCATCATGGAGGTGACGAAACTTTGCTGTTCGCCTCCAGGCCGAAAAAGTCCTGATGGGGATAACAGCATCAGGACTTTTTCGGCCGCATTTGGCCGCAATTGCAGTGAAGTCCGGCCGCATTTGGCCGCAATTGCAGTGAAGTCCCGGCGGGGAAAAGTCGTACTTACGGGGATTAATTAAGAGAGAGATATTGACTGTCGTAGATAGCGAAGATCAACGGCCATTTTAGTATTAGTCTCTTAATCCGTGCAAATTGGACCCCTCGCAAGTTCCCACGCGCGCGCGCGCGCGTGTGTGTGTGTGTGTGTGTGTGTGTGTGTGTTGTGTGTGTGTGTGTGTGTGTGTTTTCCCGGTCTGGGGCTTTGGTTGAAAACTGTGTAATTGCTCGCTAAGGAGAAGCCATGCCTCGCTGAGGCGTGCTGTCCTCTCCGAACGACCCGAGCAAGCGGTTTCTGTTGTTCTTCCTGATCATCTGTTTTTCGTACTGGCCTTCTTCTTCTCCGTCATTTCAAGACGGAGTGGCGTTGCAGTCACTTTACTCCCTCTCTCTCCTCCTCCTCCTCCTCTGTCCTTCTCCTTCCATTCTCCTCCTCCTCCTCAACTTCTTCTGCCTCCTCTTTTAAGTTCGAGTGTTAAATGGGCGTACTCATGACTTCAGCTGCCGTTCTCTTCGGGGAGTTGTGATCCTCTCTCTTTCTCTCTCTTCTCTCTCTCTCTCTGTGTCTCTTCCTGTCTTCCTCTCATTCGTTCGTTTTCTGCCTTTCTCTCTCGGCGAAAGGGAGGGCAAGGGGAAGGAAGAGAGACTCTGTGTGTGTGTGTGTGTGTGTGTGTGTGTGTGTGTGTGTGTGTGTGTGTGTGTGTGTGTGNGTGTGTGTGTGTGTGTGTGTGTGTGTGTGTGTGTGTGTGTGTGTGTGTGTGTGTGTGTGTGTGCGTGTGTGTGTGTGTGTGTGTGTGTGTGTACGAGAGAGAGAACAGGGCGGAAAGAGAGGAGTAAGAACGCAGAAGAGACGAAGCGAGAAAGAGAGAAGAGAGAAAGAAATATTTCATCCTTTCTCTTGTATGTTCCTTCCCTCCTTCCATCCTCTTTTCTCTTCGTTTGATTCTTGTCCTGCTATACTGCCATGACGTGGTTGTTTACGCTCGTGGATTTTCTGTGAGGCTGCAGTTTTCTCTCCATTTTTTTCCATCCTCCTCGTCTCCCCGTAGCGGATCAACAATTTCTTCATCGTGAACTACGCTCTGTGCCGTTTCCATTGTGGCCAAACTATGAATGGATGTACGAATCAGTCAATCAATCAATCAATCAATCAATCAACCAATCAATCAATCAATGAACATATCGACCATTCAGGAAGTTACTAAATAAGCCAATCCACGTACAAATCAACATATCAATTAACGAACCAATCAACCGATCACCTCACCGATCAACTAACCAAGAAACCAAGCAACCCACCGATCAACCAGCCAATCAACTAACCGATCAACAGATCAACCAGTCAGCCCACAAATAACCAATCAGTCAATACACCAATCAAGTAATCAAACTATCACTGCGATCAGTCGATCACTTTGGGGATCAAGAAGCCACCAATCAATCAACCAATCAATCAGTCAACCAATCAACCAACCAATCAATCAACCAATCAACCAATCAATCAATTTAGTTAATCGATCAACCAATGAAGCCACCAATCAATCAACCAATCAATCAACCAATCAATCAACCAATCAATCAGTCAACCAATCAACCAACCAATCAATCAACCAATCAACCAATCAATCAATTTAGTTAATCGATCAACCAATCAATCAATCAATTTAGTCAATCGATCAATCAATTAATCAACCAATTCAATCAATCAATCAGTCAATCAATCAGTGAATGAATGAATGATTGAATGAGTGGATGAATAGATCAGCCTTTCCTGTCCGCCTCCCTTCTTTTCTCTCACTCAATTCACTGTGGCTGTCCATTTTACTTGTAATTGATCGCATTTTCTTCTTCTTGTTTTTATACCTTTTGCCATGAATTCTTCTATCGGATGTTAAAAAAAGATTATGAAAGAAACGAACAAGCAGGGGTCTTAGTTTGGGCCAACTCTGTGAGAAAACTGAAGTGGAATTTCCTTGCGCGCGATTCGATTAGTCCTTAAGGGCCCTCCTCACAGCAAGTGAATACGCATCTCGAAATGAGGCGGTGATCTGGTCCGAAAAACAGGCCAGGTTCAGCCAAATGCCAGGAAATGAAATACGCATGCATGCATGCATGCATGCATTGTGTCAGTACCTCTTAATGTTTTTCTCCTTCTGGTCTCTTCATGCCGCTGCCCCCCTTCCTTTTCCTCTCTTTGAGACTATTTCTTTCCCCCCCCTCTCTAAGTTCACTATTTGGCAGTGCTCTGTCAGTACAGAGCCATCAGAGTGCAAATACAGAAAACACAATTGTTGCTCCGACTTTGGGGCGCGCTCCACTCCTCTCGACACGTGCAAAACGAGAGTGAATCTTCCGCTACAACGTGGAAAGATTCACTGCCATGATTTTTGACGAGAGTGGATCTTCCGCTACAACATGGAAAGATTCACTGCCATGATTTTTTTGTCATTTGTGCGTGTGGAGAGTAGTGGAGCGGAGGCCCTTGGTTGTTGCTCCGACTTGGTCGAACAATTCTACCGTCTTCCCCCGAACATAACGCACCCCGATAATGAATGTATACAGACTATCTTTCCGTCCAGACACAGGCAAAACGACGGTGCGTTCTGTTCGGGGCAAGACGGTATCACTAAAGCTCTCCTCTCCTCTTTTCAGCTCTGTAATGAGCATATTATGCTTCCAGGCATGGATGCGTGCATGTATGGATTGTAGAGGATCCAACATGTGGTCGAGGGCGTTTCAACACTTGGGTTGGGTTTCAACACATGTGGTCCCAGACTGTTCATTCCTCCGAAAGAAAGGAAGGAAGAATCTTCTGGAGAAGAGGAACACCTTGGCCTCTTGAGAAAAAAAAGCCCTCGTAGGCCCTGGAGAGAAATGTAAATGTAAAATAAAGGAAAATGAATCCTCGAGGGAAAAAAAAACCGGTTGAGTTCAGCGCTCAGCGGATCAGATTTCTCCCGATGCAGATCCCTTTCTACCTACCTATCTAGTTAGGAAAGTGGAATCTTCGCACGTCTGCCTTGACCCTCCCCATCTTCCATACAAAAGAGAGAGAGAGAGAGAGAGAGAGAGAGAGAGAGAGAGAGAGAGAGAGAGAGAGAGAGAGAGAGAGAGAGAGAGAGAGA